AGCTGCAAGCAAACTGCAGTTCAAAGCTTCCAAAGGCTAATTAACCCAGTTTTGGGCAGCACCTTGTAAAATCCCCTCCACTCACTTTCTACAATCGCCCGCTATGTTGCAGAGTCTTATGGGTCAACTGCGGCTCAAACAGCACATTTAATTCAGATACAGTTTTGATAACTAGCCCTTTATATCAGGAAGACCTCATATGGTCTTTTCGTCTAGATGACCACATGCATATAAAACACAGAGGCTTTGATTTGTGACCTCACAGTCAAAGCAGAACCGAAGCCCTGTGTTCTGCCGTGCGGCAGCAGTGAAAATCACCCCCCATCCCTGAAATCTATCAGCTTGTGTAATAAGTGGAACCATACATATTTTTATATTTTCATTCGAGGAAACAAGCAAAGGTCATGATTAAACAAGTGGATCCCATTCAGTTCCATCAACTTTACAAAACAGCTGGTTTTGTCATCATTACCACTTCATTACGCACCATTTGAATGGTTCACTATTTCACATTTAAACTATCTGTATCATGTAAACCAGGTTTCAACTATTTAAACTGGTTTTACCGTCTCTGCGGTGGCGGTCCAAGTCGATCCCGTCGAGGCGAGCTTCCACCAGGGCACCTGGGACAGACGGGGTTTTAGCAAAGGCGCCCTGCATTCCATGATGGTACAGAAAGCATTCTGTCTGGAGCGAGACACCCTTGCTCAGAATCCTGAGCCCTGCACGTCTCCCCCACATCTCCTTGCTATTCCCCCTGACAAACGGGCGGCTTCCTGGGGATGTGAGGTCTGGTTGAGGTGCCATGCCACTCACAGAGCTCCCTGTTTTTGCACAGTTCGGCCTGCAGATCCGAAGAGCCTCCCCTGAAGAACCCGCTCAGCTCACTACCGCCCTCTGTAGACTGTGTTGAGAGACAATTATTTTTACAAAAACATACCAAACACAGTGATATTTAGTTAATGGTCTTTACTATTTTAGCTTTGTCATCCATCAAAACTATGAGATTTCAAGGTTCTACTAAAACATCCATGAAATTGGTTAACAAAGACAATTTTTAAAATCCAACAGTTGAAACAGACAGACATACCAATATTTTTTCAATCTGCTGCCTGGCCTTTAAAAATGCATTTACTGACGCTTCAATTTTAGACCGCAAGGCATGAAATCTGGAGAAAAATAAGCAATAAAGCTCAGATACAATATACAGGAGTAAACCACCACCTATTACTTTTCAAATTATCTTTCTGTTTATCATATTCACATGTGATTGAATGCATATCGGATCATTAAATTTCTTAATAGTTCTTGGTTTTCTCCTTGGGCCTAAATGGCCAGCAATCAGCATACTGAACATGAATTTTCAAAACCGTCATGATTGTCTTGATGTAGTGCTTATAAAAATGCCCCGGGGGGTAAAATGGGATTTTTTTTACTTGACAAACCTTGTCCAACTATTTTTAGAGCTATGTAAATCACTGTGGCTCCATCACGTGATGAATACCTCTTGATTCCACACCTCCTGTCATTAAAAACTGATCAGTCATAATGACCATCAGGAAACTGTAGCAATTGAAGTACTCACTAATAAAGAGACTTATCTCCACCCCTGAAGTATCGGTACGGACTTCCTTTTCAGCACTTTAGATTTTACTAAAATATTTAACAAATATCATTAATGATTTAGCATTTCAGCTCTGTGATCGATTAGTAACTTCACAGTACCAGAATACTCACTTTTCTTTATCTGTCTGAGGTTCCTGTACCGTTGGACTGCCAGCATTTTCCCTCAAATTTGAATTAGCTGGTGAGAAAAATACTGCTTTGAGATACACAGAAGGATTTTGTATGTGTCTGTGCTGTTTTTACATCGTTGATGACTTCATCTCTGAGAACTGGAGCCATTTAACACTTAAATAATCAATGTACATTTAGAAATAAAAAAAACAAGATATATATAACATGGCCTTTAGAACAAATGCATTTTTAAAAATGTATGTACCATGAAACACTAAGTAAAGAGTGTAAAAATCACTACAAGTAAAGAAACAAAGTTTTTCTGTACCTGGAGGAGTATGAGTGTGGTGAATGGAGCAGGTACCAGTCAATGGGGAATAGGTCCTGTCTAGTGCTGGTCTCTTAGATGGCGTTATCTAGGCACAGAACAATCTCGCTTATAACACTTTATGCCTTATTGAACCAGGAGACAAATTAAATAAGTAGATCAACACATTTATTTATACAATCATACATGAATTCACATTAATAATTGAGACAGCTAGGCATAGATCACTAAATAAGCTGATAGGTTGAAAAACCAGCAATGACCCTTGGCAATATAACAGCCTATTCCCAGGATCATGTAAACCAGGATCATGTAAACTGGGGCTATTTGAATCTCAGTCCTCGTGGTCCAAGCACTGCTCAGTCCTCAGCCTTCTTGCCTGTGAGTCAGATGTTAAGGCTCTGTAGCCAATCAGTAATTATTAAACGAACTACCTTGGAGAACTGAAAACAAGCCCTGGACTTGGAATCAAGGGTCAGATTTGAAAAGCCCTGCTATAAACTATGGGGGACCAAGAGAGTGTTACAGACGATAAACATATTTAACTAAACAATGTAAGGTCCCCCTGTCCAGGGTGCACCCCACATTTTTCCCCTATGCTGCCTAGGATAGGCTCCAGGCCACCCACAACTCTGACCAGAAAAGCGATTGGAGGATGGATGGAGGGATGGATGTCAAATGAGTTTCCTAACATATTGCCTTTCCCTATTACACAATCAAACCATAAATACCAGGTGTGTTATACTACTTAATTTAGCCACTTATCATCCAAACTGAAAATTTAGCTTTGAATAAAGATCATTTACAAACAACGGTCATTAGCAAATGACGGTGGGTGCAGCACTGGGAACTACTTTAAGTAACATCTGATACGTTAGTACATCTTCTTACTTATTGAAATGTACTAGTGGCAGGTATAAATCACATTATTTCATTGTATCCATTATTAAAATAAGAAAGAATTAATGTCACTACACCACACAAAAAGACTAACGTCGACCCTAAGCCTCCTTTTCCCCAACTCACATTTTCCTTTTCTTCCAAACGCAGGGCCCTCTTAACTCTGCAAAAAAAACAAAATAAGAAATTTGCTAACGTTAAAGGGACTGCTCACAACATGCAGAAAAATTATCAGAGAGGGAGCGCAAAAAGACCTTTAAACATACTTACGGCATATTTACAGTAAGCGCACAGTCTCCAAAACAAATAATGCCCGTTTTGAAAAGTGGCGCGGTACGACCGGAAATGGGTTCCCCGTCACCGGTTTTCTGTATTTTTCTTTAAAAAGCACATGCGATTAATGGATATTTTTCTAAATTATTCTATATTTTAGGTTTTTTGTGGCGTATTGGCCTTGTGAGTATTTTTTATTTCATTATAATATTTTTTCCTGAGCGGAACGTTCATTATAGTGCTATGTTTCGGTCCGTGCCCGTCTTAACGATACACATTGTTTACATGGCAACGGCCTGGATGTATGCGGCAGGCGATGATGCTCCGTTTAGCCTCCTGGCGAACTAGATGAAATTAAGGCAACGTTTTCAGTACAATTTTTAAGTGCTTGCATCTGTGCTAGTATGCTAATGCGTACGTTTGCTTCTTGGTTGCCTGAAACACGGTTATCGACATGCTAGCTAACTAATATGGTTTGCGGTTTATAGGATAGGATAGATTCTGCCGTATCATTTAACATTTAAGGATGTCGTCATATATCACACCGTCCCACGGTTTGCAGAAATCGCAGCAGACCGAGGATGAGCGATTCTACATGAGATGCAGGGCCGCGTACGTGGCGGTGTTTAAGTCCAGTCTAGCAAACATACAAAGCAAGGAGCAACTGTGCATAGGTAAGCAGGCCGATATAGAGGCAGTTAAACCTTTGTTCTGTGGTAGAGTTAATAAACTTTCTTTAATTAAATATCTAGCATCGCCTATTAGTAGTCAGACAGATGCTCTCTTTTTTTCCCAGAAGTCAGGCAGCCATTAACTAGCGTTAGTTGACCTGGTTGCCGGAGTCCAGTGTATGAGTCAATAAGCAGCACTTGATGTATGCGTGTTTTTTATTTATTTTATTTACAGTTTTGCAACAGGCTGGGCTGAATCCGTCTCTGAAAACTCTGGGTGCGTACTGGACCCCAGGGACAGTCAAACTTAACTTTGACGACTTCTGCGAAATACTTAAAAAGGAGAAACCAATAGACAAAAATGAGGTACTGAAGGCTTTCAGAAAGATGGATCCAGACGGTAGCGGATATATTTCACATGGTGATCTCTACAGAGTCCTCACTTCAGTGAGTAATGCGAAGTATCTCGCTGTTAATAAATTAACTGATTCTTTTCATATAAACATCTGTCTTCCGACTGCTTATCTTTGTCAGGGTTGGTCACACCAGTCAGCCTAACTGCATGTCTTTGGATGTTATGAGGAAATCCATGAGATGTGGAGAGAATTTGCAAATTCCACACACACAAAGTGGAGGCGAGATTCAAACCCATAAGTGTGAGACTGAGCCATACAAATCTCCATGTATCTTCTTATTGGGCAATGGGCAGTGATGTCTTAATGGTTAGGGAAGCGCACTTGTTCGAATTCCCGACCGGCAAGTCACCACTGAGGTACCCTGAGCAAGGTACCGCCCCCAAGCACTGCTCCCTGGGCGCTGAATTAGCTGCCCCCTGCTATGTCACATATGGGTTTAATGCAGAGGACACATTTTGTTGTTGTGCACTTTGTGCTGTGGTGTATCAGCAATGACTACTGATCTCTGTCTTCTTATAGCTTATCCTGATCAGAGTCCCGGGGGCATAGGGCAGACTGCTAGGGAACACCCTGAACAGGATGCCAGTCCATTTCAGGGCACATGTATGCACACATTAATAATTATTCTGTTTGGGCAGTTAAAAAACTCCAGCTAACGCAGCTGCATGTCTTTGGGCTGTGGGATGAAATCCACACAGCAGAGAACATGCAAACTCCACCTACACAGAGCATTGACACAGTTTGTACCATCAACCTGGATGTCTGAGGCAGCAGCAACTCCCACCTGTGCCGAGCCTGAAAAGCTTCTTTTAGTTTATTATTTTGCATTGATCTTAGTTTAGTAATTAGTTTTTAAACTTGCCCTCGTTTTTTAGACTGGAGAAAAGATGAGTCCCGAGGAAGTAAACAGCATCTTTTCCATCATGGAGATTAACCGGGATGGAAAGCTGGACTACAACGAGGTGAGATCCTCCTTTGCCGACTGATTGTATGGGTGTTTGCAAATAATGCTTTTAGATCACTGCTTGCGATTAACAGAAGCAGAACAGCAGCGTAATTAATTTGTTGTTAAAACTGACTGTGTTGGAGAAACAGGATTTTCGCAGAGGGTAACACTACCAGCCTTTCTGTGGATCTAACTGCAGTACGCACCATGCTGACATGCAGGGGTGTCAGCAATGTGGGGGCGGGGGGACGTGGCTCCCCCCAGTATCGTCAGAACCCCCTCCTTCCCAAACAATAAATACACAAATGATAGCGCATTTCTTATCTTTTTATTATGAATGCGCACATTACTGAAGCCAATTCCCTGCGCATGCAGAGCGTGAAGGAAAAACATATGGCTAACAAAGATGGCTACCATCCTACATCAAACTCATTTTATCATATGGATTAGTTATATTTTTTCTGAAACTGTTCCCTAAACAGTGTTTGTCTTATTTAAAAATGATTAAATCTTTATTATTCTAAAATTATTTAGAAATCTTTCTCGCACGGCATCTTCTCACAATGTCACTATTGCACGTGTGTCCGTGTTGCCTGCTGCCATGGCAAATTTGGTACCCGGTGATGTGAAACTCCTGCTGCTGACACGACCCCTCTTTCACGGCGCTCAGTTCTGCAGGCTGTTGGTGTTCGCCACCAAGGAGTGCCAGACCGTGGACCTTCAGAGACTGGAGGCCGACGGTAGACAGAAGAGGCAGAATTTCGGCAATGATTCGGAGAGCTCTCCCCAGAGGCCTGCCACACAGCCCAGCCCTGAGCCTTCAGAGAGCTCTCTCCAGAGGCCTACCACACAGCCCGGCCCTGCAGCTTCAGAGAGCTCTCTCCAGAGGCCTGCCACACAGCCCGGCCCTGCGGCTTCAGAGAGCTCTCTCCAGAGGCCTGCCACACAGCCCGGCCCTGTGGCTTCAGAGAGCTCTCTCCAGAGGCNGGCTTCAGAGAGCTCTCTCCAGAGGCCTGCCACACAGCCCGGCCCTGTGGCTTCAGAGAGCTCTCTCCAGAGGCATGCCACACAGCCCGGCCCTTCGGCTTTAGAGAGCTCTCTCCAGAGGCCTGCCACACAGCCCGGCCCTGTGGCTTCAGAGAGTTCTCTCCAGAGGCCTGCCACACAGCCCGGCCCTGCGGCTTCAGAGAGCTCTCTCCAGTGGCCTGCCACACAGACCGGCCCTGCGGCTTCAGAGAGCGCCCTGAAAACAGAGCTGGACACCACTCCGAGGAAAGGTATGGCTGCTGTCGACCCCCCCTGGCAGAACGCAGTAAGGCTGCCCCACACCCCTCATTCCATGTTTACAGACGTATAAAAGCACCAGGGGTCTCCAAGGGTACAGCCAACCGTGCTGATTTATTATCCTATTTATAAGCAAGACCAGAAATGGTTGTAGTCCTGGTGTGTCCAAAACAGCCCTGCCGGACCGCCGTTTGCCTTTTCTTTAGAGAGCGTAATAGGATGCCTCACAGAATTATCCAACTGATTAAATAACCGAGTGGATAAAGGACAGTAGGACCTATGCAGCTGGAAGATGAGATGAGAGAACTGCAAACAGACTGCCCGAGAAGATGAAGTGGATGAAGTGGATTTGCAGCGGGGAGGGGGCGTGTTCAGGCTATTGATTGGGGGAGAGCCGCCTGGACCCAGGGGAGCGGGAGGGGCTGGGGGGCTGTCTGGGGGAGGTCCCTCAAATGGACGGCTGGAAAAACAAACCGGCTTTTTGATACTTTCCCAGATTAGCGCATTACGCTCTCCAGCTTGAGGTATTGATTTATTCAGCGTGCATGTTGTCACTGATGTGGGGTTAAACGCCCCTGCGTCTCACACTTTGCTGTTGTTTGGGTCTGCTTGAGCTCATTTTGTCAATGGACTGTGGGGTGCAGGTCTCACCGGGGCTCATGGTGAGTCCTTCGGAAGGGGATGATGCACTTCCATACTGTGCATGCTGTGCCTTTACATTTCCCCTCAGTTTATTTCATCCAGAACAGCTGGATTTTACCGCAGTGAAGTGTGTTGTTTAATGGCACAATTGCAAGCTCCCCTTCACCAGCAGCCTTTCTGTCCTTGGTCTTTAACCCCTCTTCCACATTGCTGCAGGTAAACTCTAAACAACTATCCACATCTACACTAAGGACAATGTGTTGCTCAATGGGTTGGGAATTTCTGGCCAGTAGGTTATGTGTTCAAGTCCCATAGCTGGCACCAAAAAATGTCTTTTTTTTTTGTCAGACCCTTTGTCCAAAATGACATACAAGTCAGGCAAATGATACATTACACTCACAAAATATTCACCATTGGGATCTTAAGCAGGGCTCTTAACTCCAACTTCTCCAGAGATGTACAGTGACCTTGTCTCCTACTAATAAATATGAGTTCAAAGGGATCACAAATAATCATTTTGGTTTGTATGTTAGTAACCCGGCCCTCTTACATTCAGGTTAACTGGTAACCATGCCAACCACACAGTCAATACAGAACTCCACCAAGGCATGTAACACCTTTAAACACCAAACCGGCTTATAGCTGCACTTTTTGCAGACTCTGCATTGATCATCAGCACCTGGGAGGATGATTTAATATTGTTCAACACCCGGGACGTATCATTCCTATGTTGTCCGTGACAAAACGGCACAATTTTCAATTTTAGCTGCAGTGATGAAGGGTAGAAAGTTCTCGAGTCTGAAATACGATTGAGCAGCAGCGGTCAAACAAATCCCGGCGTCTGCTAAAAAGATTTAAATTGAGAGAATTCCTCTTCTTTTTTTGTCAGTATATTTTTCATTTAGCAGCCTTACTGCTAAGCTTATAGGTATCTAAGATGTTCAGGCTCTGGGGAACGTGTCAGAAGATGCTACCATTCGAGTTTCAAAGTGTTTTGCTTATTAAGTCCAGACTCTCTTGGTCAGCCTGTCCATCTTATAATAAGAGGTGTGTTTTGTGGTACCGTGCAGTGTGATGGTATGTTCATTGTTTATCCTTTTATTTAAGAGGTGCTGAAGCTGAGGGCAGTTTCCTGAAGGTCAGCCTCTCCTCCATGGTGTTTGTGACTCTAACAGTCTGGCTGTGCTTTTCTGGTGGTCTGGGTGGGGCAGAGAACCGGTCCCCCGCCTGGACCTCCTCCGCCCGCAGCCGGAGATCATCCACATCAGGAGCCGGTGGGACGAGAAGCGGCAAACTGCTGGAGCCCCGCTCGCTGCAGGTTAGGTGACCGGCCTTGTCTGCCAGCAGGCCTGCTCGCCCGTCACAGTAGGCCTGGTGCTCTGGGAGTATTTGGGTTGGGGCTCTGACACCAATCTCTTATTTCCGCCCTCCCTTTGCGCTCGGCTTGCCTTAAACCCCCTGCTGTTTTTTACAAAATAATAACCGGCGTGTCAAGCTGCAGGATTTGGGGTTTTCCGGGGGTGGCTGGAGGAATTCCCGCCGTAAGCATCGCGCTGCGGAGTTGTTTTACGGCCTACTCTGTCGCTCCGGCCCAAACTGCTAATTGGGAGCCGCGAGCGAGCAAGCAGGGCTGTGTTTTTGGGGTGAGGGGGCACGTGCATGGGTGGGGCCTGGGGAGGGGGCACCTTGTGGTAAATCAGACAGGGGGCCGGGCTGTGACACTCCATTGTGTGGGCCGTCAGGCAGAGCCACCTCTGAGGAACACTATTTCAGGGTTTAAAGTGGCCCTTGGCTCCAGGCTGTTTGTCTCATTTGTTACCGGGTGTACAAACTGCCCCAGTCTTTTATCCTCTCCTGTTTGATCCCTTATATTTCACAGCCCTCGGAGTAAATAGGCTTTGTTAAAGGAATTACATTTCTGTCCATGTCGGGGTTTATGTCTTTGTTTTACTCTAATTTATTAGCTAGCAAAAAAGTTTCCATTTATTTTCGGACAACAGGGACCACTAATCCTTCTAGAGCAAAACAACTATATTTCCTTGAACGAATCTCCAATGGGTTGAGCAAAAACATCTTTCAGCATTTAAATGGGATACCCACAATGCACCTGTATTGGACTTCCTTTAGATGTCAATTTTATAGTTTCATACATATCTATGAAATATTTTATATACATATTTTTTTTTAACCCACCTTGATTCAGATTTTAAAATTTAGTATTTGTTAATGGAAATGGTTCTTTTTTTAATGAGAGTTTACTTAAAATTCCAGTATTATTTCATGTTTCAGTTCATATATTCTTGGTTTCAAACAAAAATAGATTTTTTAAGACTTGGGTGCATGTAATGAGTAACACTTGTTTAATATATAAACAAATTAAGACCAAGCCAGAAAGATACAGTACAGGTTTCCACGGCACATAAAACCTTAATAGAGTGGCTTGTTTAATGTTCCCACTTCTGTTCAGTCAGCAGGGTTTTACTGTACTTGGTATTTTAACCCCCGCCCCCTTGCAGGCTTTCCTTTGTTGTGAGTTTTCTGTCACCATAGCTCCCCCTGGTGGGACTATTCTGCTTTTGCATGACAAGCAACAAAAGCGCCAAAAATTAACGGTGACTATTTGAGTGACTGTTTTTAAAATAATGGTAGGTAATTTAAGTTGATATACATAAGAGAAGTGCCTAAAAAAAATTTAATTTTAAGTAACATCTCAAGGAATTACTTATGACTTAAAAACCTGTTTATCATAATTTCTATCTGTACACGCTTTAAACACGCTACCCTTTTGTAGGACTGGCATCACATCAGTTTGAAAGGTTGCTTCTACCTGGAGGACGATGGAGAGATTGTATCCCTGCAATACCGACTGCACCTTGCCCAGACAACGGCCGTCTTCCTCACCGTACAGCCTCTCAACCTGCGTCTGGTGGACGGTAAAGTGGACCCCCCCTGGCCACCCTGCATGCAGCCGGAAATGTAGATATTGAGCTGGCCAAGGTTTATGGGCCAAATCACAAAACTGGCTACAGACCGACAGAGCATGGAACTGCCCTCATACATTTCACTGCTGTCTTCATTTTGTTCATCCCGCTAATTTCGTTCCTGCTATTGTTCTGTTCGTCTAGCACATTTTATCCCTGTTCTAATTTTGTTCCTTTCATTTGTATCCCAAAACATCCAGTAAATTTCATTCTGGTTGTTTTTTCCCTCTCCAGAAAAACCCTCATCTTGGATGAACATTGACACTGCACTGTTCCTTATGAATGAAACAAAGGACGGCTTTAACTTTGTCTGTTGTACGGAGTTGCGCGATAAAGAGGTTAGTGCATGTTTTGCTCAGTTTTCTTTAATGTGTTGTTGACAGAGCACTTTCTTTACAGAATAATGTTTCTGAGTGGCATATATGAGATGGTATATAACGCCTAAAGTCATATCTTTCATATAGTTTCATTTAGTTGTATGATTTCCATGACAAACATTCTGTACATGTTAGCTAACCTGGAAAATATTAATAAAACTATGAATATAACTGTGAATTGTTCACATTTACATTTTGATATCATGTGGAGTGTATAGATACAGCTCAATTCTAGTAGGTGAATTGAGCATGTGTCTGCTGCCCTCTAGTGTCCAACTCAATCAGACAGATAGGTAAGATGTGCATATGTCCCCCTAGTGGCCAGATTTTCTGATGCATCCTGTTGATTGACAGAAATGTGGCTGGAAGGGAGAGCTGAATGGCGGCACCTACTATATAATACCGTTTACCACGGGCTGCAGGCTGAGAAAGAGCAGGCAACCAGTGACAAAGACTGCTCAACTGGTATATCGCACCGAAACTGGGGAGCTGGCTCTCACTAAGGAGTTCAGGTACACTCTGCAGTCTTCTTTCTAAATGGATGTGCACTGTCCCTTTAAGACCGCGGTACGTGTGCACGTCCATTCCATGTTGTTTGAGAGCAGAAGAATTTTGTTTGTGAGCCGTGGGTCTGAGGTTACTCAAACTGAGCCGCGTTCCGCTCAGGCCAATTTCCAGCGAAGCTTTTGTTCTGCTGAAAAGTAGGGAGTTTGCATGCAAGCGACAGAAGCTTTTAGGCTCATTAAGATGCGAGGAGAGGGCTGTAAGGGCATAGAGAGTAGGCGAGTGGGGAAGTCAGGGCCCTGTTCCAAACATAAGGGGTCTTCTAGGGGGGAACTTTTGTAGGTCACCTGTGTCTTAGGGGAAGCCCCACCTACAATGTTTCTAAGGTCCCAGAGGTGACCAGCTTCCAACTATCAAGATTCAGGGCAAAGAAACGACTGGAAAAGGTCACTGCTGACCCTCCCACCCTGATAGCCACCTTTCTCAGTCACTCACTTCCTCTCGAAGGCTCAGGCCGGTGTGGAGTACAAGGATTAGGGGTCCATCTCCATGTCCGGAATGTTGTGGGTTTAAATCCCATAACTGGAAGAGTAATCACTTAACTGCTGGGTCCTAGAGCAAGGGCCTTAGCTTGTCCAGGGAAATTGACCTGTTTCTATTATCTTTTTTGATCCTCATTCCACCTGGACAGTCACATGCACAGATGGTACATTTGTATAGTTGTTACACATCTCTGTTCACTTTTAAGCTCATTTTCTGTTTGTTTGTTTGTTTGTTTGTTTGTTTGCATATCCTACCACATTCTGATTCATCATGTTCACAGGCACCTGTGCGTATGTGAGTGGATAAGCTTCCGGTGTGTGACAGCACTACACAGAGATATCGCGTGCACATCTCTGTCGGCCTGTTCGTCCAGAATGTCTGCCCACTCTTTCCTACAGAGCCACCCTCTCAGACATATTTGAGGTCATCGACCTGGATGGCAACGGCCTACTCAGCTTGGAGGAATACAATTTCTTTGAGCAGAGGAGCAGCGGCGAGAAATGCGACAGGGATGCTTGGGCCGTCTGCAAAGGTGCCTGTGCGGAACTGGCAGCTTTATGTTATTGTTATGGGAGATGGTTATATTCAGAGAAGGTCATGTGACAGCCATAGAAGCAGGAAATTGCAAAACAGGAACTGTTAATGATATAGCATCACCAGTGTCTGAGAAAAAGATAATATAATATTAAAATAAGTAGAAATCTAGCAGATCATTATGATCTGTGAGTGGTGTGGGGGCTCACTGAGTTAGGACTAGGGTGGGGGGCGGGGGATTGATTCCGTTACAAATTGCTATTCTTCAAGGCGGCAATTATAATATCACAGTCGTGGGGAGGAACTGACCCTATCCAGGGAAGAAGGGGCACAGGTGGGAACCAACCCTGGGCAGGCGCCAACACACCACAGGGCACACACACCTTCAGGGCCAATTTAGACTCGCCAATCAACCTGCCCTGCACGCTTTTGGACCGTGGGAGGAAACCGGAGCCCCCAGCAAAAACCCACGTGAACATGGGGAGAGCGAGCGAACTCCACACACAAAGGATCCGGGACCGAACCCAAGACCTCCTTGCTGTGAGGCAGCAGTGCTAACCACTGCACCACTGCGCCGTCCAGTTTAAACATGAGTTACTGAAATTATGTTGTTCACATTTCGTACTCCGAGTTGCACACAGCCTGATTTTGTGAAGGGACTTTGGCACGGTGCTGATATGGATGATTAAACGTCTGCAGAGACTTTTCCTGCACCATCTCAATTTAGAGCCACAACTAACCTCTTCCCTGAACACTAAAAACAGTTCCTAAACAAACTGAGCGTTTTACGCCTATTTAAATTCCTCCCTGGGGGCGTCGTGTCTCGCGCTGTCATTGGCTGTTGCTCGTCGCCACACTAATTGCCAGTCACAGCACTTTTCACACCTACAGGATTTGGCGTTGCTGACAGGTCTAGATATTTAGCCTGCTAGATATCTGACGGGTGCCTGCAACACACTGGCAGCTCTGTCGGGTTACGTCTTTGAACTAATAGCAATGGAGCGCCTGGTCTGAATCTCCTGACGAAAGCTCACACTTGGACATAGTCATCTAAAATGAGTTAGCATGTTGAACGTGCTACAGAAAAATATCCAAATTTGGTATAACAGAGCTGACAGACGTTCTTAGTCTTGGCGACCAGTCCCCCCACATATATTGATATAATATGGATTTGGGCAGTAAGTGCCGATTCCCAGGACACCATTCCTGTGATCAGGTGGTTGCTGGTTTACATCCCCGGGTTAGAAGAGTGATTTCACTGTTGAACCCTTGAGAAAGGGCCTTAGCTAATTGCTCCAGGGACTGTCTGACTCTGCTTTCTCAAAAAAAATTGTTACTGCTAAGTAAATGAAATGTAAATCTTTTCCTAAGTGTCGTATCAGCGATTAGATGAGGTGGGCCTTGCCTTTAGCATGGGGAGGGGCTGATGGTATGTTCTGAGGAGTCAACCAACAAGACTCAGTCACACTTCTTGCAGACACTGTTGGTTTATCCTGAGAAATGCTGATCCACGGAGCTTTCCATGTTGTAGGGCGGTAGAGCATAGAGAGGCGACCGTGAGGCCAAAATGCATCTGAACAAAGACTGAGAGCCACAGAGGAGCCTGTCCATGAATGTCTAATTGTATTGCAGAGAACTTCGACACCAGGAAGAACCAGCTGACACGCCAGGGCTTCATGGAGCTCAGCTTGATGGAGGCGAACGACCGCGAGGGCGACCCCAGTGACTTATGGGTAACCCTGGAGTCCATGGGCTATAACAGAGCCTTGGAGATGGTGGAGGTACAGAATCCTTTGGCTTTTTGCTGCCACGTATGTTGTTATATACAATATATCATCGCTGTTTGATGAAAAATGCGTATCTCAGAAGATCAAATATTTCAAGAGCACGAAAAAACTGCAAAATAAGCCTAAATACAACGTGATGAGGCACCTTTACCACCACTAATTAAAAATATCATCACACGGCCATCAGGAAATAGTTGAGTGCTTTAAATATATGTACATGGATTGCTGTCAATAAGGCAAGTATGTCAGTATTCACAATTAACAAATTCTGTTAATTAGCTAAGTTTCTAGCTATAAATGTTAAGTTGTTAAAATTAGTGAGTAAGCCATAAAAATGACCATCACAAATACAAATGTTAACTAGTACAAACATAATTAAATAGATGACTTCATAAAACATCTTCTCATTGGTGAATTAGATGTCAAACCCTATCAGGAGACAGTCTCAACCATCAAAAAGTGAACATAGGCAGTTGTTATTGGACAGTAACAATATTTTATTTATATATATATATATATATGTATATAAGCAAGCGCTAATCCACCTGCCATGTCCGATTGCAGGCCTGCCCTTTCGCGGTCAATGTGTACTCAGAGGCCTCCAAGCCCACCGTGCAGCCCGTCAGCCTGGAGTCGTCTGGCAGGGTGCTAAACGCTGCAGTGTGCGAGTCTGTCATCGCTAAAGGGCAGGGCAGGCCGCTGAGGGGCCACAGTGACGTGCTCATCCACACTTACAGGAGCGAAGCCAGGATCTCCTCCGTCATCGACAATAAGGTGGGCTGGTAATGGGAGGCATTACGGAAGGTTCTACATAGCCAAGTGAGGTGACTTTGAGTTGAAGCAACTTGTTTTATGGGTCTTTAAATGTGTCTTTCAAAGATTGAAGCCCCTGTTTCACTCCTGTAAGCAGAATAAAGGATTGTACCTCTTTAGGCATGTGTACGTCACACCATGTTTGGCCTGTATCATTATTGTATTCTTATGTGTTGGAATGATCAATTCAAAGGTAGCTATGCCAGGTCTCCTTTATAAAGGACTGAATCTGTGTGTTGAATTCATATATTTGTTCATTTGGCCAGTCATACCATTGTGACTCATGCATAGGGGTTCTAGATACGACTGACAAAGTTTCTACTAAATGTGAATGTTTTCTGTTTGCTGCCACAGTCTGCAGAGAAGGTGACAGTCCACGTAAACAACGAGCAGAATAAGAACTGCTGTGGCAGCAGGGGCTTAAGCATGTTTGCTGTGGAAATCCCCCCCAGAAGCAAAGTGGTACGATCTCTTATGCTCCTTCTATACTCACATGGTGTGAAACTGCGTACTGAGTACACAGTGCCTGTAAGGGTTTGGAACTGCATTAATGTCAAACATTTCACTTAATATAATTGTGTTACAGCATATGTATACCATATATACATTTAATTATATTCATTTGTAATTGGTATTCAGCAGTGAAGCCATATAAGCACATTCATTAAGAGTCTGTCCTGTTTCTGCCAGTGTATTGGTTGTGTCCTCAAGCCGAAGGAGCCACTGCAGGAATAATACCATACTGAAGTTAACATTTAAATTCTCCTTCCTGAAAGGGGGGTGAGCTTACTAGATCAATTCTTACAATGAATAGAAAAACTGTGTACAGAGCCAAGTGTGCTACGCTAGTCAGTATTATGTACCAAGCTTGTTATTTACTTTTATGCTTTGCCATAATATGCAATGAAAAACAAACTCGTATTCCTAATCAATGTGCACTATATATTGTGGGGAGTAGATGACCCCATTTGCAGTCTATAGATCGCCAGTTGAGCACATAGCTAACCGAATAGTTTGCTTTGATTACCGCTAATCCGCTAACTCCAAAGTTTAATTCCATAATGCTAAACCGATGAACCACTACAAAATTTAGCAAAAGCTAACGATAACTGCTAACTTTTATTACATGAATTTAGTCTCGGTTTGGTTTTAGGCCGCGAAACCCTTAAAAACATACCTAGAGTGCTGAAATTCTAACTTGTTTAGCAATTTAGTTCCACAGGGCTGGAGTGATTACCTGATATTCCTTTTGCAAGATGTACGTGTTTTTGTTGGAGGTCCTGTTCCATGACTGGGTCATGCTGACATTTTGCCCTCAGTGAAGCCGCTTGGGGGATACAATCCATTTACCCAGAACCAGTAAAACAGGTCTCAGCTATAGCTCTGTCTGTCAGAATCTGGAAAATAACCAGGGGCCAAAGCAGGATTTCTTGCTTTGCCGGATAACTTGTTCTATTTAAGGTAGTCTGGGCTAAATGTAAGTCCATTTAAACTAAGGTACCTGAAATCCAACAAGTTATGACACTAAGCAAGAAATCCAGCTTTATGTTCCTGGCCCAAGTTCTCTGCTTACTTCGAGGTACCCCAGTTTAAATGGATTTTATCTTCATTCACTTCATTCAGCCCAGACCGCCTTAAATACAAGTTATCGACCTATCATGTCTTATGTTTACATGTAGCCAGCCGACAGTGTGCCAGACTGTTGCAGGGCTGCAACAGATGGGAACAAATATGTGCGATTTACAAACATTTAAACTTGATTTACTTTACCTGCAGAAAATTGTTAGTGGATTTACAGTTAGCCGGACTAAATTTAGGCGAAGTTAATTGGTCCACTAAAGGTTTTCAAAGTTAGCGGAAATGCTAAGACGCTAACGAAAAAGTTAGCTTTGCCAATTAGTGATTAGCGGATTAGCAGAACCCTGCCCGCCACTGTAGATTATAATGTATTGCAGTGTACATATGACAGTACAGGTTTACAGACACACATAAATTGTAACTCTTCCCTCCACTGTAAGTCACTTTGTGTAAAAGCATCAGATAAAGTGAGTAAAAAATAAATAGCTCACACTTCTAAGTGTATAGATTACATTCTACTGCAGTATATAGATCAGTGTTTCCCAACGAGGTCCTCCAGGACCCCCAGACAGCCCACATTTTTGCTCCCTCCCAGACAGCCCACATTTTTGCTCCCTCCCAGACAGCCCACATTTTTGCTCCCTCCCAGACAGCCCACATTTTTGCTCCCTCCCAGATCTTTACTGTGAGATCCCCTGTCTAGAGGTACCTGAGATCCAGGTTGGGAAACACTGATATAGATGACATTGTACTATACTGTAGACTGGACTACATTGTGCTGTATAGATTACAACCTTGGTCATATCTGCTTTTGTTTCAGGTCTGCCAACACATTGTTCCTGTCAATGAAAAGCAGGAGTGGATCTACAACTGTGTGGAAAATATCCTGCCCTGAGCCTCAGACTCTCACCGTCCATGTGGGATAATGAGCTGTCATTAATGAGACAGCGGCGACACTGTCCCAAAGACATCTAGTCTATGTCAGCCCCATGACCATGACCATGCCCTGGATTGATGGGTGGGAAATGGAGGAAAGGGATGAGTGGGTAAAAGTGTGTGTTGTGTGTGTGTGTGTGTGTGTGTGTGTGGATTAGGTTTATATAACATTGTGGGGACCATTTTTCATCTCTCCATCTGTTTCAGTCATTTATCTTGTTTACATTTTCACTTATTTAGCAGAGACTTCCAGCCAAAGTGACATACAATTGAGAAGGTAGGGTCAGACAGTCCCTGGAGCAGTGGGGGGGGGTTACGGTTACGGACCTTGCAAGTGAAATCACTTTGCCAACTGTGAGATGTTAACCTGGGACTTTCTCATTACAGAGTGTCCCAACCAACTGTGTCACACACTGTCCCCTGAGTAACAACTGACCTACAAAATATTACCTGTATAAAATATCTGTACGCATAAACAATGTATTTCTATTGCAAAGGAGTAGTTTATGGATCCATAAAAATATCAATAAGCTCTAACATACCACAGTCACTTTAGTAATGCTTCTATGTCATTCTAAAAGGTATGTTTTGTTTATTAATTTGTATTTATTAAAGTATCGAACCCTGTAAACCTGTACTGGATAAACTAATGGAAGAGGAGTGTATTGAAAAGCACAGCACGGTTAGAAAGCTTTTTTGGGCGCGGCTCGTATACCCGGTTCGGGTCTAAGGACGGACGCTCCGCCGGGGCGTTCTGTGGGCTCTTGGTTCAGCCTGTCCGCCGGGTGCCTGTATTCCCAGGGTAGTCTTGGCCCGCTATTTATATCACATAGTGGCTATACACTTTGACCTTCTCTACTGTAACTGTATATTGGTCTGCTAAATGTCATATTAGTTGTATAAATCATCTTTGCCTCTTTGCTTTTGAGGAAAATACACAATCATTAGTAGCCAATGAAGCATTATTATACGACTTTTAAAGAAGGCCGTATACCCATACACCGTAACAGCACATACTCTAATCTGTTTGTAAAAAAAAAGTCAACGATATTTTTATTCCGATATCTGAAATGCATTTCTTCACTTGACAAAATTAGAGAATTAATATATATATGGCATACTTTGGGATGAATAAATACAATTTGTGCATTTTGTATTACATTAATCACTGTATGATTCATAACATGATGGTGTAGATATCGCTTGCAAAAATCATAAAATAGTACATCGTTCATAGCCTAGTAAAGGAGCTATACAGGAAGAAAAGGCTGCGCTGTCTCTTTAAAGGGGAAGGGGGCGGCTCCCCGGCAGCCCGGAGGAAGACCGTGTACGTGTGCGACCGGTTCGCAGATCCCAGCTCTGTGGAGCCGCACGACGCCGGTGAAACGTTTCGGGGACGAAAATGTCCAAAATAATCACCGTAAAGACTAAGCCGTACGCCGACCAGAAGCCGGGCACCAGCGGCCTGCGCAAGAGGGTTGCCGTCTTTCAGAAGAGCCAGAAGTACGCCGAGAACTTCATCCAGAGCACCATTTCCACCATCGAGCCCCAGGACAGGCAGGGAGGCTCGCTGGTGGTGGGGGGAGACGGCAGGTTTTTCGCGAAAGATGCGGTGCAGCTGATCGTGCAGATCGCGGCGGCCAATGGGGTAGGTGGGCCTAGTGGGTGATCAGTATCGCAACATGCCTGTCGGGCATCATAAGCGGGGGGAGGCTCGGGTACACGTACTGCACGTCAGACAGCACCGTCCCTCCCTCTCTCCCTGTTAAAAGGCAGCATTTCGTCCCGTCAGATTATACATCCGTGTTCGAATCGGTCTTATTCTGCAGTTTCCTTATTCAATCGCTACGGGATGGAATTAAAGCTGCAGCTCAGCTGATACGAACCTCAAAGGAAACAATGTATCACAAATGTTTCAAAATCAATTTGTTCTAAATTTAGTTCATAGCTCATCCAAAAGCAAAATATTTTACATGAAAGATCTATTTTAGTTGCAGTTCAAGCTACTTCATACACGGACAGGTGTTGAGTTTTTTAGGTGTAGTAATGTCGAGTGACCTTTCGGGGATGGGAAGGGGTCATGTCGGCGTCGCCTTTGCCCTTTCGCTTACTGACGCCTTTGGACAGGAAATATGTCACCCCTCACAACGATAATATAAGTTACTAAATGTAACGTATGGCTGTCGTGGCTTTATTTTTCCATCGGCGATTGGGAAATGACCTTCAGTGCATGTGAAACAGGGCTATGCTTGTTGAAAATGAGCTGAAATCGCTGGGATGCACCGCTGGTAATCTAACGCATGCAAGGATGTTTGGTAGTTGCAGGGCTGGTGAAGTTCAATTTAGACACGGTAGAATCTGAAATAAAATAACATATAATGTGCAACAGGCGCCGCCACTCGGCCGGATCCTGCGCATCTGACAGCCGCGGAGGGAGGGGTGGCTGTTGTGGTGGTGTTTGTTACACTGCAGCGCATGTGTGCGAAAGATACACAGCAGAAAAAAGAACCCTGATCCTTCAAAAATATTCATGTTTAATCAACGTGAAGTGTCGCTCATTTCCAGTAACCACTGTCATAAAGGCATTAAGAGCATCAAAGCACACGTTAATGTTATTTGTATAAATCAAGTTTCAAATCCATTGCTTGAAAATTTTACCCATCGCCGATTTGTGACTGCACTTGTTATTCATAAAGCCACCAATTCTGATATTTTAGCATGTAATTCTTTAGTTTTTAGATGCAATAATTTTATGCTAGACATTTTGAAATTTTTGCAATATGCAGCTAAACGTACAATTCAGCAACGTGTATGAATTTCATTTAAAAAATCTGCAGATCGGTTTAACATTTATAATGTACTTGTGATTTCTATACTATAATGAATACTGTCTGAAGTAAACCCAATCTGACAACTGTTGGCAGTGTGATATGATTTTACTCTGATTTGATAATATCATATGATTAATTAGCGGGTTCACAGAAAAAAATCTTTTGTAAAAAATCGTCTGGTTAGACGATTGTTTTTACCCTCAGTATTTCTGTGAATAATTTACAGTTCTTAAAATAATATGTGTTAGTTTGAACGAGAAAAATGATTTGCTGATCTTTTTATTAATCTAGATTATGAGGGGGGAAAAAAATTAAACCTACCCCTTTAAGTGTAACTGTTGACCGATGATGGAAGAGCGCTCATATTCAATGAGTGTAAATCCTCTGAGCGACCACTAGGTGGTCACAAGACCGCACCTCCGTTTCAATGCATTACTTTGCATTAATTGAAAGAGTTCCTTTTTCACATGGATGAGTTACTAATAATGTATATAATGGTGTCTGGGAGATACTGTCATATTACATGATGGTATGTACGAATATTGGATTTTACATAGTATTTAAATGCTGCAATAAATGTCAACTTAATACACAAGTAAGAAAATAGCAAAATGCTGCCGTGTTTTTTGTTTTAAGAATTATTGATCTTCATAGTGCATGTGTTTATTTGACTAAATATAACCTTATCTGGGGAAAAATTGTATCTTCATTTTTAATAAAGGCTCAGAAGGGAATGTGTGTGTGTGTGTGTGTGTGTGTGTGTGTGTGTTTGTGTCTGTGTATATTACTTGTTCAGTTCTCTTCAGCTGTCTCTTTGAAGATGGCTTTAAGCTAAATCACACCCAAGGAACTGGTTTTAAATTACATTTTAGTTTTAGAATTGTGTTGAGGGCTCTCCAATTAAAGTATTTGGTATAATTACAAATAAATGCCTGCTGGAAGTATAACGTATTGTATTTTGACTGGATGTGTGGAGTTGGGACTAGATTAACTCGATAAATTGAACTGGTGCTGGTGACAGGCCAAGACTGAGTGAGAGAGGCGTGACGGAGCACTCCCAGCTCAAATGTGCCCTGCTGTCATTTTTGTACGTTCTGCTTGCAGATGCCTGTCTGTCTTGTCATCTCATCCATTCCAGGGCATCTGGTTAAAGTTACCCCCCCCCCCCCCGCCTTTTTGTTGCTTGGTTCCTGACTAACGACGGATGGTAGTTCCCCTGCAGTTTTTGATATTGTTAGATATCCGTCCCGCTGAGCAGAACCTGTGAACGACTGAGCCAAGCAGAGAGGCCTGTATTTTAGAACTAATGTATCTGGTACCTTCCGAAATGTCTGTGTCCCTCTCGGTTCTTCAGGTCAGATGGTAGATGCTTGTGGATTTGGATTTTAAAATGTTACATTGTAAGTAATTTATAATAGCAGGTAAAATTGCAAAAAAATGCAAAATTTAAAAAGCCTTTTGCTGCAGAGGGGAAAGATTCTACCTCTAAGATGGCAAAATTCTGTGCTAAGTTACCATGCTGAGTTACCATGCTAAGTTACCATGCTAAGTTACCATGCTGAGTTACCATGCTAAGTTACCATGCTAAGTTACCATGCTG